TCCTATCTCCTTGTTATTAATAGCAAAACATAATATGTTCCTTTTAGAAATGTTTGACTCTCTTATTTGCTTCGAAATAAAATTCAGTGAGTGATCAGTGTGCACCATGATTCAGAAAAACAAATGCAAATTTCCATACATTAACGCTACACCTAATAGCTTGCAATATTTTATCTAAAACATTCATTTTGTTTTCCCATTCTTAAAGATAGTTTTTGCTATAGGTGGCACCTCTGTGAACGCAGAGCTCTAACTTAAAACTGCCAAAGCAACAAAAGATAATATATTGGGACTTTATAAGCTAAGAAACATAAACATGGGGGGGAAAAGCATAGCTTATGTAGATTGCTGCTGGGTTAAATGAATGTGAATTCACACTAAAATTGTCAATCAGCTACACATCTTTCACCAAATCATTCTTTTTAGTCGTGCATAATTTTTAAGGCCTCCAGCTACTATGATGCCTTGTGTTCAATATGTTTCCTTCCCTCTGTAACTGATGATCACAGTTTTTTTAGACAAGTTTCCTAAATCTGTGATAAAAGTTAATTTATTTCCTAAAAGACTACAAATGGTGCCTCGTATATTGAACCAAACAAATGATACACCATCCTGCTTGGAAATTAAACACCTAAAATATCTGTGGTGATTTAGCATAGTGCCAGAGTGTAATTTATTTAATGTAACAGTTTAGGTTTCAATTGAGCTACATTTATTAGAATCTGGGCACAGTAATATGTTACTGTTTTTCCTACTTTCAGCAAATGCCAAAATTATAAACTCCAAAATAGATGGTGAAGTACATTTTTAGTGATATCTGATTGGGCTAACATTTCCCTGAATTTAGCCCTGAGTTATTGCTTAGACTACAGTTGAATTGCTAAGAATTCTCCTGCAAAGCATTATCAAGAGAAAATGTGATTTAATAATTTAATTATGAATATAGTCATCAAATATGACTTTTAACCTAACAGGAGTCTTTAAAGAAGGTAAAAACCAAAACAAAATTATAGCCATCTGAAGATACGGGATTGCATTTGATACCATTTTAATAATTTTTATACTGCCTGTCATAATTTATTTCCTAATGAAGAAAAAAAAGATGAAGGCATTCATTGTGTGCCGGTAAATGCTCAACAACTGCCTTTCCAGGAATTAAAATTGCTAGTTCATAGCATTTGCCAGTTTCTATGGTATAAATACTCCCACTGTGGACAGTTTCAAGCTACTAACACCATGTTAAGAATCTGCAGTCAGGAAGAGACCCATAGTAGCACAATATTGTGTTCTGTTTTCACTGTAAAGATGCAATAGACCTAAATAGACTCAAGAGTCCTGATAAATAGTATAAGGTAGTAAAATAATTGGGAAGTGGTATGTTTTGATTATTACCTTTGTTTTTAATATATTCCATTGTTTTTTATAATTTCATATTTAATAATGGTTATATTTAACAACTAGCTTACAAAATTTCGGATAATTTAATTACCAACTTTTATGCATCAGAACGAGCTAGTTCCAGCCCACCAGTGGTATTGTGTCTCTTGGTACACTATCAGCTTTTACATAGGGAGAGGTTTGATTTGCTTGGGAAGGAAGGCATTACTTTATACAAATCAGTTTCTCTTTGCTTTTTTACCTCTTATTTTATGTAAAATGCCATACATAGTTGAAGGATTAAAAGGAAGTATCCTCCATCCAAATGCTAGCTTTTAAGCCTTCAGAGTTTTTCAGAAGAGGGGTTAGTCTTATAAAATAAGGGTTGGAGGCTGGGTCTGTGGAGCTCTGCCCTGATTGGGCAGTTTATCATTTAGTACAGTTTATCACCTGGATCAAATGGTTTCTTGATTCATTGAATTATGAGGCTGACCAAACTATGTTCAGGGATTGTTTTGGCAGGGTGTAGACAAACCTCAAGGCAATACTTAAAAGAAAAAAGCAATGATATGAAATGTAAATGAATGGTTTCCTTGTCTTTAAATATGTTTTTCCTAGGGCTCAGTAAATAACTAATCCAGAATTGATATCTGCATTTAATATCAAAGGGGAACATATTATTTTTGAGCAAAAAAAGAGTTCGGAAATGTCATTTGCTCACTTCATTTTTTGGCTCAATATGACCTCCTAAAATAGGTCTGCTGGTGTATCTTTTAAGTGAAAATGTAGATAGAATAGCATGACTGTGGCTGTGTTCGTTCAAGAGAGATTTAAACTATTTTTTTTTTTAAACATTTGCTCTTTGATTTAGCCTTAATAACTTAAGAAATAGTGAAGTGGTTGTTCAAGAATTTTTGAACTGTTTCTCAGGAAAAAAACAATATTGTTGTCTCTATGAAACACATTTTCTTGATGAAATCCACTTTTAGAAGTTTACACCAGTATAGGCTTTCTATAAGGAAATGCAGATGACTATGCTAATGAATGAAAATTCATAAAGCATTCGTATTAAGTAAGCACTATAATTTGAGGCTTCTATATTATTTATTTATTTATTTACTTATTTAGAGATGGAGTTTCGCTCTTGTCACACAGGCTGGAGTGCAATGGCGTGATCTCAGCTCACTGCAACCTCACCTCCTGAGTTCAAACGATTCTCTAGCCTCAGCCTCCCGAGTAGCTGGGGTTACAGGTGTGAGCCACCAAAGCCAGCTAATTTTTGTATTTTTAGTAGAGATGGGGTTTCACCAGGTTGGCCAGGCTGATCTCGAATTCCTGACCTCAGGTGATCCATCCGTCTTGGCCTCCCAAAGTGCTGGGATTACAGGAAATCCTTGAAATGTCTTTTAAAAATAGAAACCCCTACTGTTGGCTTTCTAGTTAATATTTTTCTATATTTGAGACAAGTGGTTTCATTTTTTAAAACTACAAATAAAAATTATTGTTTATAAGAGTATTTACAGGTTGATAAATTACTTAACGTTTCTTGGAACTCAGATTACCATTTGATATGCTGAATGAGGCTTCATAGCTATTGGAGGAAGCCTCTGTCATCCCAGCCTCTTTATGTTAAATCCAGTGGGGCATGAAAATAACCACAAATCCTACCATTTTCAAATGATATTGAGCAACTCAAAGGTCATATTTAATCACTAAAATAAAGAATGAGTTAAGAGAACATCAAGGTAATTTTGTCTATGAATGGATTCAAAGTACACAGCACATTTTCATTAAAAAGGCTATAAGTAGTTTCATAACTGCCTCAAGTATAATGCCCACAGGTAATTAGCTAAAATAAAGAATTGATAATTCTAGTGTAAAAAACTCCAAATGCTTACCTAAAATTTGTAGTAATTTGAAAATCTTAACCCAGGACTTAGAAATGTGTTTGGAATCCTTATTTCAACAGGAATATTAGGCAAGGAGCTATCACATTCGGTATGGAAAGCATAATTTTATCCATTGATCATAGCTAAGAGAGGGCTTAATGAGCCTCTGTTATTTTCAAGGGAGATTTATACTTTGGATAGCATGTTCTTCTAATGAGAAAGGAACAAAAATAAATTCGTAAAATTTGTAGGAAAAAAGTTTCATTCATTCAGACTTTTGTACTCTTAGTTTCAATTCCAGTGATAAATCCTAATTTCTTTTTAACTAACTAGCATTCTCCCTTAATTTCCATGCATATTTAGCATAGCAATTTGGAGAAGGGACAAGCCACAGGCTAGAAAAGTAAGAAGAGGTTGTAATTCTGATTTTGCAACTCTTTTGCTGGGTGATTGGGGGTGATTAACCTTACCCATTTTTGAATACTGGTATTATACAAGATGATTTTTAAGGAAACTTCTACTTTGGGATTTTGGAAAACTTATAAATGTTATTTTACTGAGTAAGGGCAAGTTTGAAATTCAGGGTAACAGAAAATAATTGTTTTACTTTATCATTTGTTGTGGTTGCATATGTTTTAAAGGCTTATTAACGTACACAAACCTATGCCATAACTGCACGCTTATACCGAGATGACTGCTAAAAAACATCTCAGAGACACCTCACTGACATTCATGAACTTCACAACATAAAGTTCAGGCTGATGGGGATTTTCATTTTGGGTATCAAAATGTTCATTTTTATTTTCTTTGCAATTTTAGATCATTGCAGTGTTTTGCCTATCATTCTATTAAACGCTCTATATTGCTACATTCACAGCTAGATCACACAACCCAAGTCAGAGTTCTGAAAAGATGCCATGGTTTTGAAAGGTCTGTTGACTGCTTTACTCACTTCATGCATATGCCTGTTGAAGAGGAGGAGTCACACCTTGACTGGATGATAGAGATCATTGTGGAACATACCTGCAAACTGCCTCAGTATTCCAGATCACGAGTTAACTCTACCTAATTGAGTGGCTACACGTTTTCTTTTAATCCCTTATATTGATTCTCAGGTTGACTGTGTTCTCATAGGTTATTAAGTTGTATCACAAAAAAACTCTGCTCCTTTTCCCCCCTCTCCTCTCTTCATTTGGATGGACAGTAGTGCTCTCTGAATCACCCCTAGTCCTACTGAAATGATCCACGTTTCCTCAGAAACATTTAAATACTCATGAATGAAATTTAGACTTTGTGAACCAATCACAATCAGCTAGGCTCAGCACATAGAAACTCAGAACTAGAAATGACAGTACTGAGTCATGTAAGATTTTTTAAAATGGATTTCTTTCAGAGTAATATGCTGACAATGAATTCAAGTAGTTCCTAGATTTTGGCAAACATCTGTGATCATCTCCCCCACCACAAATTCATGACAATAAAAACAAACAAAAAAGACCAAGGTGAAGATTATCCAACTGAAACGTATTTGTGTTCCTGTTTATTAACATGTTGGTAAACTTAGGTGTCAGCTTTTCCATAAGTCCCCTCTGGAGGTCTGTAGTACTTGGGGAAAGCCATCAGCTGTAGCATGTTGAAAGCATACTTTCTGCATTTGATATTCTTCAGTACATTCTCTATGCGGCATCCTTCTCTGGTGAAAGGGGAAAAAGTACAACTTCATGAAACACAGAATAAATAAATATGCTTTATTTGTTTAATGCAGAGTTGCAGCAACAGTCCAAGTAAAAATAACAAAGATTCAACTCTACATTTTTTTTTTTTTTCCACAAGTGATGATACATCTTACAAAATTAAATCCTAGGCCAGGCCCAATACCATTATTGCCCTCTGAAAGAGATGACTTAAGTCTCTTTACTCTTAACAGACATTTAAAATTTAATAAACTCTTTAAATATAATTTGCTCCACAATACAGCTCCACTTTAGTTTCATAAATATATCTGCCATTTTATAACATTTTCACAAATTAATTTCTCAGTCTCTTTAAAACACATTAAAATCTATATGTAGCCCTAAGGATGCAGGTTCTAGAAATAAGGCATTTAATTTATTAAGTCTGGCCCTATAGATTTTTAAAGAAAAATTTCATCTCTATTTTAATTTTATTATTTTAGCTGTGCAAGGAAGAGAGAAAATGGCTTTCTGAACAGCCTGGGCCAAGTCTCAGCTTTATAAAGGAAGAGTGCTTGTCCACGGACAGTACAAAAGTCACAAGTGCTGGGAATGGTACATCAAGACACAAACAAGACCTTGTTAAAAAGAATAGAAAAGTCCTCTGAAAGCCAAATCAACCCAAACAAGAGATACAAACAGGTAATTTAATTACAAAACATAAATAGCCATTCTCTCCATAAAGTTACTTGACAGAAAAGAGTTAATTGCAGCGAAGAAGTAAAACAGGTTAAAAAAAAATTTCTATCAGCAGATGGCATCTATGATATTAGCACAGTGGAAATAAAGTCTGCAACCTCCCACATCTCTAGAACTTGTCTCAGGGTTTCAGTGTTTGTGCAAATTCAGTCTTAATTTCTTTAATAAATTTAATGGGATGAGGACAGGAGGTTCAGAACTTCAAGCTTTCAGGATTCTGTTCTTTGTCTTATTCCCAAGACAGTAATTTAAAAATTCTTCTTGAGCTAGTTAACAGTGGGAAACACTTTTCCACGAACAAAAGAGCAAAATAATCCACTTAATGCATAGTACTCTGTTTTTCAGATTTTAGGAAAAACAAACAAAAACACAAATTAAACATTTTTTTTAAATTCTGTGAATTTGAAAATGTAAAAATATTACATCATTGTCCCCATGATTTAAAGTTCATTGTCATTTGTAGAAAAGAAAAAGGAATACAACATAAAACTTATTGGTATTTGGCTAAGAGCAATGCCAGACTTAAAATAAGCCACACAACTAGCAGGTGTGAGCTGACAAGCAGCAAGGCGACAGGATAGAAGTGTCGAGAAGTTGGCTTGTTATCAGTTAGACAGCCTGTTTCAGGATCATCGGATTCATTCAGTGCTCCCTGGGTTTGTCTGCTGTTAAATGAGGGGAAGTTAGGGGAGAAAAGAAAATAGTATAGAGTTCACACAGTAAAAAAAATGCAACCTTAAATATTCTGAAATACAATGCACTATCTTACATAACACAACTGTTTCAGATGAAATCTTATGGTAAATTTCCCCAAATGCACCTTGTGTATTGTTTTCTCATTGTACTACATGGGCGAAGGAATTAAAACAGGAGATTCCTTTAGCTCTTTGTGCAAGAAGGAAGGGAGAAACACTGTAATGATGTTCACGTGGGTTAACTATGTATGTACAAGGAAGAATCAAATAAGCATAACAGCACCAAATCAATACTATGAAATAAGTAAACTATGGACTAGCTCATGAAAATAATCTGATAACTACATCTCTAGAAAATGAAATGAGCAACACAGGATGTAGGGAAGCAAACCAATGTGTCTGGCATATGTAAACATACCCTCTACTGGCATTGCACCTATATAATGTATTTAAAATTATAAAAATGATTTATTGAAATGGCACGATCTTTAAAATGAACAGGACATCTGACATGCCATCCTTGCCAGCCATAATATTAGTTTAATAAAATCCAACTCAGCACCCTTCTGTTAGTTCAGCTCATAAATTACATCACCTCCTGCTCATCTTCCTTAGATAGGGACAAATCTATCTCCTACGAACACTACATCTGATAAGAGATCCATATTTACAGGGTGATACCTCAGAAAATAAAAGACTTCATTTTTAGATTGTTTACTTTCTGTGTAAATAAATAAAAGTAGGGGGTTGGTTTATAATTCTGCTTAAAAGCAGCTCCAATTATGGCCAGTCTGAAATATACCATATTGATATAAACTGACAATAAAATAATGTTCTATGCTCTAGTTCATCAGTATTCAGAGTATTAAGAATCTCAGTCACATTCAGTGGTTAAGGGTGGTATATTCTCTATTAGCTCTCCTACATTTTCAGGCAAAAAAACTTCTAATAAAGATCCTTAGTTATGGCCAATTTCTAGCCCTTTGCAATCCCCAAACAAGTCCTATATAGAAATTTTTGACCAGGCATTGACCATGCCAGTGTCAGCATTTACACAAATATCAGTCATAATTATTTCAAACAACATGAATTAGTTTAAAACACCAAATCAACCATAATGTGCTGTGCTCTATTATATCCTCATGGTTTGGTAGGACCTAAGAACTATGTAATCAGTGACAAAGTAAAAGATTGTTTGGAAAACAAATGGTTTATTGAGCAAAAGGGGGTTTACTTTGGATTTACATTTATTCCTATTGTCAGTTGTATGAGTAACCTGGTTACTATTCAACTTTTTCCAGCACACCAGGTAGAAAATGTACAGTATTTTATGCATTGATATTTTTGAATGCGATTAAGAAAAGCTCCCCTGTTTTATATTATTTCTCTTATTGGCTTCAAATCCCTAATCGTTAATCCCAGAGAAAGAATTTATTCATTTGTTCAACCCAAAGCTTTTAGTGTCTACTATGAACTAATTGTGCTGTGTAGGCACTGGGCATACAAGGTTGGATGCATCAGATAGAGATTTCTGCATTCGTAATGTTTATTTTTGAGTTGGAGGAGGGGGAATAGAAAAATAAGAATAACATCTGATAAAAGCACCGTGAAGAAAAGTAAAGCAGAAGGGAGTTTCGTGCGTGTGTGTGAGAGACAGAGGGAGAATTTTAAATAGGAAAGTTAGAGAAGTTCTCACAAGAAGGTAGCATGTGATCACTGATTGAAGATAGAAAGGGGAAGAGTGATGTGGATGTTCAAATTAATTTTTCCATTGAGCGAGCAGTGCATTACCTAGTAACTTCCTGATATAATGGCACTGGAAAGTTTAGGCTGGAGGACAAAGGGGCATGAAGGAATATGGGGAAGGTGTTTTCTGCCTGGCTGGGTCTCAGTGGGAAAGCCCAGACTCCCAGGGGCAGCAGAGAGGTGGGGAGGGAAGTGACCTGAACTGGTGGATGGCAGACCAAACTGGAGGACAGACTCTACAGTTATAGACCCCACTTCCATTATAGAATCCAAATAGAGACAAGGACACTAAGATGCCTGAGGGTAGCAGTTTGAATTTCCCCTATAAGAATCCCCCAAGATGATCTTGGAAGGAGGGCACATAGATCTCAGAGCTGGTTCTAGACGGCTCACTGGAGCAGAGGACAAAAGTATAAGAACTTCAATATTGCCAAATAGGTATCACATTCTATTAAAATTACTCTTTTTCATGTATTTCAAACAGCATATATTAGGAGAATAGCACATATAGAAACCGCTGTGATATAGTAGATCAGAGCACAGACTCTGGAGTCAGATCAGCTGTTTCAAGCTTGGTTCTATCACTTGCTAGTTGAGTGGCATTGAGCATGTCATTCTGTATGTCATATCTCTATTTCCTTATCTGTGAAGTGGTGATAATAACAATACTACATCATAGAACTGCTATGAAGTAACTTACGTAAGTCGATTCTTACAAAGTTCTTAGAACAGAGAATGCCTACAGCAAGCATTCAATAACTTATGTCATTTATATATCAATAAATAGGTACATCTTGGTAGTGTACCTAGAAACATTTTAACTAGTATGTTCCCTCCTGTCTTTTTTTCCCCCACAAAGACTCCAGATTCTGTTTAATGCATGGTAAAGAAAAATATCACCAGGCCCTTGGGGGTAGCAAGAAAATAAAAAAACCCTAAAACATGTGCTTTGCAGAGAGGAACCCTTATTCCCATGGAAAAGAAAAAGAAAAAAAATCTGAACAATTGCTCATCTGAGGGCCATGTGGGTCTCCAAGGAGGCTTTGTAGCATGCATGCTTCCTGTAATCGAGGGGTAACCATTGTTAACCTGGCCAATTCAGCAGAGAGGGAAAAGTCAAATTTCACATGGAAGGCTGGTCCATAAACTCGGTTCTGCGCACGTTGTGTGTCTTACCCAGTCATTACCTTCACATACAAGTCAGACACATTCCTCCTCCGCTGTGCCAGCCACACCCTCTGGACCATGGGCCAGTGGTCATTTCCAGCAGCAGAGGCTTGAGGGCAAGGCAGGGTTGGAAGGAATTGCTGTAGTGAGTGTTGTGACAGCACCAGCCAACGTGGGGGAAAAAAGCAGCAAGCCAATGCCTGGTTGGGGTCAGTTCATGAGGGTCTGTAAGTCTCCTTCAGGGATCATTAGTGCTAAAAGGAGCCTCTAGAGGTCATTCTGTGCATTCCTCAACTTCCTTTGGGTCACTTTCATACATGGTTTTCCTTGCAGGTCTGATAGATTTTCAAGAAAGAGCATGCCTTCAGCTTCTTTCTCTCTCTCTCTTTTTTTTTTTGGAGACAGGTTCTCTATCATCCAGGTTGGAGTGCAGTGGTGTGATAATGGCCTGCTGCAGCCTCTATCTCTCAAGCTCAAGTGATCCTCCCACCTCAGCCTCCCGAGTAGCTGGGACTATAAGTGTGCACCACCATGCCTAGTTAATAGTTAATTTTTGTATTTTTTATAGAGATGGGGTTTCACCATGTTGCCCAGGCTTGTCTCAAACTCCTAGGCTTAAGCAATCCTCCTGCCTCAGCCTCCTAAAATGCTGGGATTATGGGCATGAGCCACTGTGCCTGGCCTCTACTTCATTCTTATTGAGTACTGATACTCTACTAATCAGGCCAATCAGCTAACATTTCAGGGAATAAAGTCAATAGTTTGGTTACTGTACAGTCCATGGTAAACATTCAGCCCCGATTATCGACAGTGCTGAGGCTAAGAGACCCTGCTTTAGCATGAGACTCTATATACATATAAATACATCAACTATAACCTATACATATGAATACATCAACTATAACCTATCTAACCTTTTTATAATTTAAGAAAGTAGTTTATAACCAAGTGATGTTACCCAGGGACATTGGGCAATATCTGGAAAGATTGTTGGTTGTCATAACTATAGGAGTGGGGGTACTGCTACTGGCATCTTAGTAGGTGGGGCCCAGGGATGCTGCTCAACATCCTTCAATGCATAGGACAGTCCCTGCCACAGTCATCCAGCCTGAATGTCACTGCTGGCATAACAGAGAGGCTGGGCCCCGGCTCTTTGTATTTCATACTTGGCTCTGTCCCAACGATCCCCTCTTACCTCTCTCTTTCCACATCTCCTGTCTCCATCAGGAATTCTTTTACTCATGCAACCCCCATAAACAATGCTCAACTCCCTTCCAGCCCTCAGTTCCCCACAGCCTGACTCATCGCAGCCTGCACAACCAGGCTCACCACTGCCACCCTTCCTCTATCCCTGCTAGTCTACCTTCACAGACATCAAGCATCACATGGGACCCCTTCCCTCTTATCCAGACCACTTCGGTCAGGAAACCATATATTTGTTTTATGATGTCCCCTGCTCAGAGCACCAGGCACCTCCTCCTAGCCACTCCAGTCACGTTCATTCTCACCCTTGTTCACTCATAACTAACTTCCCCTGTCCTTTCTAAAGTATGGCTCTAGTAGCATCAGTTTCCTGCTGGAAGCTTCCATGGCTTTTCTAGGCCTGCTAATGAAGTTGATCTCTCCTGGCTAGGACACCCTTGTCCCTGTGAGTACCAATTCTGTGACCTGGAAAACACACACACACACACACCCCATCTCTGACTAGTTTGCCCTCCTCACTTCTTGCATAGCTCCATCAAGTACCACTGCTTCCAGGAAGCCCTCCAGGCCTATGTCTGTGTCTCCCTGTCTCACTCATCTTTCTACCTCGAAGAAGCACTCAGCAGGATTTGTCTAAGGCTCACATCCACAGGAGGAGGCAGGCCAGCAGCCCCACTTGGTTAAGCACGAGGGATCTGAAGGCCAAAAGTCTGCCTTCAGATTCTACCTGTCCTCTTAGTTCTGCCTGCTTGAGAGATTTGATTTGTCTCTTCAAGCCTCCATTTCCCTTCTTGGAAAGTGAGGTTAGGATGAATGAGATCATCTCAATGTAGGTGCACAAAAAGCGCTGGCTT